TATTGTTATTGTTGTTTATTATGGTTATTGTTATTATTATTATTCTTGTAGATAATATTAGAGTTTATTATTGTTTTAGATTTGTATTGAAAGGAATAATTTTAAGCATATTGGGTTTGTTTTAATCCAACTGTTTTTGTGAATTTGGGTGCAAAGTTTTGTTTAGAATTATGGTTTTCATTCTTGCAAATGCTGTGATTACTATATGTTGTGGCAATATAATGTAGGATTTGAGTATAAAAGTTAGTCAAGAATGGGTCGTAGCTTGTTAGTTTTATATCCATGCCATTTTAAACTCATTAGATTAAAAAGCACAAGTTATTATTTGATGAGTCTATTTTATATATATTTTTATTCCCCGTCTCATGGTCATATTTGTGCTTATTTGAGCTCTACGGGGCTATTTTTATTACTAATATACGTTTTCTAGTGTTTTTGTAGAGTTGGTATTATTTTGTAGAAATTTGCAGAATTATGATAATTCCCGATCTTATTGAGCTACTACGAAAATATCGGAGTATGATCGTATTTTTTTATGACCGTAATATTTGTAGTCCAAGGTCAAGCCAATTAAATTTGGTTCGGTGATTAAAGGTCCGGTTCGTTTGGAGTACTAATTTTATTACAAGTCCAATACTTGGATATCAAGAAGGAAATTGGGCCAACTCATATTAAAGCACAGGTTACAAATTTAAGATGAAAAGAAGCCCAATCCCCAAAAAAAGTCAGCTAGGCGAAGTGAAATATCGGGCCCGACCGGGCGGACTAATGGGCCGATCGGGCGAGTGTGCTGCAAGGCCAAGCTAAGTCGGTGATGGTTTAGACTTTTGGGTTTTTATTGTTGTTAAAAGCCCAATAGTTTTCTATATAAGGAGGGAGTAGTACGTAGTTAGGGGGAAGTCAGCTTTTATCATATTCTTTCAATTAGTTTAGCTTTGTCAGACTTATAGTTTTGTTCTTATAGTATTTTATTTTGTTTAGTTTAATATTTGTGACTTTTATTTATTAGTTTTATGTTACTGTTCTTATCTAAGCTTTCATTATTATTGTTTTCGTACAAGTTTTATTATTATTGTTTGATTATGCTTTATTGCATATTATTTTTAATCATGTTTTCTTTAATTGCTTTGATTAGTTTAGATTTAATTATGTGTGAGTAGTTTAATTCTAGGGTTTGTGGGGATCCATGAACTATATGAAGGGGTAATTTATTGTTGTTGATTATTAATGATTGATTAATTTCCTATTGATTGATTTAATACTATGCAATTAGATTAGGCCTGGTTTAATTGTATGAATTTTGCAATATTGATTCGAGATTCGAGAGATGAGAATTGATGTTTAGGCTTAGTTTCAATAGGCATGTTAATCTATAAATGGTTAGGTTAAGATTCGAGAGATGCGATTTAATACCGGTAGATTAATTATGTGATTATAATACATAGCGACAGCCCTTTATAATCTGGTTAATTTATGTATTAATGATTGATTGTTATTTTTACCCTAGAGTATTATTTATTGGTGAACCTATACCCTAGATCTTTTATTATTGATTATTCCCTTGTTTAATTTGCTTAGCTTTAATTCTTAGCATAATTCACACACACAAATTGGTTACTCTATAATTTAGATTATAATAATTAATTAGGAGTAAAAGAACATTGTTTCCCTGTGGATTCAACCTTATTTCCCTATCTACTTAGTTAGAGGACTTAGGTAATTACTTTTGATTAGGTGATACAACTAGATCCTGTCATTATTATATCTCATTAGTTTTTATTATATCTCATTAGTTTTTATTATTAATATTAGTTTTATATCTTTTGTTTTCAATTGTTTGCATCACCTATTTTGTTTTTATTATTAATATTAAAATTTATTCTAAATTTAGAATGTAGTCGAGGGTTTTGGTCCATGGCATGCTAGATCACGCAGTATTAACGCGTCGATTAGGAGAGACAGGGGGATTAGTATACGGGACGGTAGTTCAGTACCGGAGCGCGACAGGGTAGTGGATGATTTTGGTACTCATTTGGATGAGTTGGAGGGAGCCGGTGGTTGGCCTAATGCTTTGTTGAGGACTCCTGGCTCGGGTTCGGGCACGGGTTCAAGGTACGAGGATGATGGACCTGAGGACGATGAAGATGAGGGTGAGGATGATGCCGAGGAGCAGTCGACTGTCATGACAAGAGGTCCTGATGAGAGATTTACGAGTTCACGACCACCTCGATCTACAGCGTCTTGGCTTGTTTAGGGGTCGATAGACAATGGGCCCGAGGATGGGAGCGTTATTCCTAATTTCAGGGCCCATGTTGCTTGATATATTTGGGATGGGGAAGATCGACGATTTTTGCGATGTCAAACTAGATTTGGTGTGTGTAGAGAGTTGAGTGAATTGCTAGAGCGATTTACGGCTGCCACAACTACGCGGATACGGCATACTGGGTTGTTGCACCTGCCGAGCATTATGCACGACCACCTTGATTTTCCGTTGATTTCTGCTTTTGTTAAGAGATGGCAGCCAGACACCAACACATTCCACCTACCTTTTGGTGAGATGACCATCATATTGCACGACGTACACCACTACTTGGTATTCGGGTTGATGGGGATATGGTTGCCGGTGATCTCCCTAGTGACCAGTATAGGACATTGGTAGCTGGGTTGTTACAGTTGACTACGGAGGAGTTACAGGTCAAGACTCAGAACGCCATCTATAGGAACGGTGGCGTCCATACTGACTAGTTATTGCTAGGTGTCGTAGTGAGGAGCAGCTGGAGGCGGTTTAGGTCATTGGTTACATGTGGGTCCTTTTGGGTAACACGCTCTTTACTAACAAGAGCGATACTCGTACTCACCCTTCTTTTCTCAGTGAGTTGTGTATAGAGGATAACATGGAGAGGTTGACGAGATACTCATGGGGTTCAGCCACACTAGCGTACTTGTATCGTCAGCTCGGGCATGCCACCCGAAATGGATGTGATTCTATCGCGCTTGTCTGACTCTTCTACAGGCTTGGATATACGAGTACTTTCCATGTTTTCGGCCTCACCAGGGTGTGTTGACACAAGACGTCCATCATGCTCGTACAGGGTTATGGGATGTTGGTATGACGCGGAAGCAGCAACAACGTCTCGTGTCCTCTCGTACTCGACTTGACCAGTTGGGAGACCATGAGGTATAAATAGATACGTAATTACTATTTGTTTTATATTGCTTTTATTTACAATTGATTTACACTTGTACTAATTTGCAGGTATGCTGGTTGCCGTACGTAGCTTTTCCTGCACAACAGGTGCCTAGGACTATGTTTACGAGATGCATTCGCTATCGGGGCATCATAGAGCCATATATGCCCGATCGAGTTGTTCGAAAGTTGGAGTTTATACAGGAGATTCCCGGTGACATGATTAGGCCTCATGATGCTCAGCGACCACTTAGTGTGAAGTCTTATAAGGTCAGCTTTTCAGCTTAGATGACCACTCTCATATGGGAAAGATTTGTCCCCGATGCTGTGTTCAGTCTTCTGCTTGGTGGATATACTAGAGTTCCACGTGGCGGACATACTTGTGCACTTGCCTACCTACCATGGTTTAGGAGAGTTAGCCATCCTATCGTCACTCCTAATGTTGAGGATGATCACGGTCTTCCTGAGAGGATCAACGTTGATTACGTAAGTTTTTTGTTAGTTTTTTTTTATTTAATTATTTTTTTCCTATTATTACTATTAATACACAATTATAATGGTTTGTGCAGTGGGTAGGGCGATTCATGGTTACGGCGCTGCGATCACTTAGTGAGTACCCTACGCTATCAAAGGACACCAGAGCAATGTTGGCGCAGGTGATTGATGATTGGAATGCAATAAATGGACTTAGAGATTAGTTGTAATATGAATTTTAGCTTTGACTTTGTTGTTTTATTAGACTATGTTTTGGATGTTGTTAGTGGACATTTATGTTTTACACATTTGTTGGGAATTATCTAGTTGAAATTTATGTATTAGTTTTTTATTTTCTAATTACGTAGTACTTACTTAGTAAATTTCAAAAAGAATTGCTTAAAAAAAATTAAAAAAATAATTATGTTTATTAATAAAGTTATATAAATTTTAATAAAAATCCATAACAGTACTCAGTGGTACTCAAGAGCTAACTAATGTCTGCCACAATTGAAGCCTTCTCTCATACCTTGCCTCCCATCTGTCTACACTTACCTAACGAGCGTTAAACCACAATGGTGAAATTGGAGGAAGTGGGTGGTCACGATCCATATGCAAACGAATGAAATGCGATTCACCAACAGTTCCAATCACGAACTCTGCACTAGGCCTGTCTTAGCGTCCATGATTGTTCAACGGTAAAACAGTGGTTGATGGATAGTAGCACGATGGTCTATTTCCTACTCCATAACAAAACACTACCACATTCCATATTGTGGCAATAGCAAAAAAATCATGTTGTGCTACCATCCAATGCTCCTGTCCACACGCATCACCATCCCATCTGATCCGGTCTACCTCCCTCTACAGTCCTGAACCAACCTGCTAACCCCATATGTCGTAGTAAATCATGTTTTACTACCAAGGTTGAGAACCAGCCTAATTCGCGATTTGATGTCGAACCAATCGCCACTCCTCCCGATCTCCGTAACATAAATCTGCTATCTAACAAAATCTACAGTTCCCATGTCCAATTACGTCCTTAACACCTATGACGTAAGGCTAAATGATGTTGGGAATCGAGTAGCTGTATCTGCATTGTCGTATGTCGAACTCAGTACCTACAAAATAAAATACATAATATGACATATAATTAAGTTATTACACAAAATAAATTAAAATATACGATGTATAAAAACATTATTTAATTATATCGATAATCACCTGTATCAGATGGGGGTGGTCTACTTCTGGATCGATTATCTCACCCATTACATTGAACATACTCGAAAACCGAAGGCTCTCGCTTGTTCCTTCTCTCGGGAGGTCGTCCCTTTACTCAGGGGTTGACTCGAGGCTCTTGAAGGTCATCGTAGTTAAAATCCATCTCACCCTCAATCACTCGAGACACGTGCTTAAGAATCACAGAGTCGCTGGCTATAACCTGATCAACAAGGGTGCGGAAATGAGCTCGATCCTCATCATTTTCATCAACTATATCAGAAATGTCGACACCCACTCCAATGACAAGGGTCCTCCAATATGGATGAATGTTCTTCGTATACAACCCCTTCCTTGCAGTAATCGAGTCATATATTTGGCATGCATAAGGTAACCCATGGGTAGTACGTAGAGCACACCCACAACGTCGATGGACATCCATACTCAACCCTCGCATCCTATTCGTCTCACCGAGAAGAATAGACAGACAATAGTGGGATACCTTTCCATTCAGCTGATGCAAAGGCTTTTGCTTGTACTTCTGACCATGAGTTGTTCTACATGCCTCCAACCCATTACGAATGGCTATAATCTGGTTCCCAATCGAGTAGTGCACCTGAGCACAAACTGTGTCTAAAGAACCTGTTGAACTGTCAATCCAACATTTCAATGCCGAATGCTGGCTCTCAACCCTATAGTTGTTAACATTGCCGAAGTGCAGTACTTGGTTCGTCCAAAACATCACAAACTTCTCCTTGTGTATGAGCCAAGTGTCCACTACATAGTCAATCACTTTCGCCCATCGACCCCACTTGGTTTTCACCTCTACAAGTTCTCTTTTATACGCCACTTCAGATGTAGCATTAATCACATGCCTCCACCTCCCATTTTTGAACTTGGCACCAATCTCCTTCTTTTTTTTCAAACATGGAAGTAACCTCAAAATCTTTGTTAATATGCCACACACACAACATGTGTCTTGTGTTTGGAAACACGCTCTTCAACGCTGGATAAAGGCCAAGCTCCCTATATGTCAATAGTAGCGACGACTGTCTATGATGACCGATCAACAACCTCAAGACTGATCAACAACCTCAAGCACTGAAGCACCCACTGATAACTTTCTTCGGACTCCGACCTCATGAATGCATATGCAACAAGAAAGTTCTGATTAGTCAGTGTAACCCCAACAATCTCAAAGAATGGCATGCCGTATCGGTTCGTCTTATAAGTAGAATCCATACCTATCACGTACGGGTATGTGCGTAGCAAATTTGTCATGATCGGGTGTGCCATGAAATCATGTTGCAACACATTGTTGGTATCAGTCATAACCCAAGTGAGGTATTTGCTCTGTCTGGCCAAATGAAGCACCTGGTGAACCACCTCTCTTCCCTCGAATCGCTCCATTCTAATGTTACTTCTGCAGTTGTAGACATGCTTGATGTTTGGATAGTCTCCGGGTAACTTTTCTACAAGAGTTTTCATGATATGCCGAGGCGGCACCTGTGCCTGAGTCATGTCACGCACTACCTAGCAGCAAGACTAAGACATCTGATTTGTCAATGTCCCTCGAGATACACAACCAAAGAATGATTGTGAGTGCCGTTCAAGCAACTGAGCTTCTAACCACTTACTACTCTGACATACTCAACCTTGAATGTGAAAGGACAACTGTTTGTCTTGCTTTTCCTGTCTTTTTGTATCGCGTTCATCATGTCTATTATCATGCTCTTTTCTCCACGATCACAACTCACATATCGATACGGTCGACCACTCCGATTGGTCTTATAAGAAGCCTTCACTAACATAAATTCGAGCGGGCGACAAACATTTTGTGCCCATTGAACAACATCCTCAAAACTCGGAAACACAGTGTCTATAAAAAATGTTCGCTATGGTCCACACCATCACCATCCTCGGACTCAGAATCCTATATATATATTTAATAAAAGTTTAGAATCAACAAACACAACTAATAATAATAATAATAATAATAATAATAATAATAATAATAATAATAATAATAATAATAATAATAATAATAATAATAATAATAATAATAATAATAATAATAATAATAATAATAATAATAATAATAATAATAATAATAATAATTGATTAGGGGATTTTGCTCCTACCAATCGGAATGCGCCACGTGGGCCAATCAGGTCCTGCCAAGTGTCCCCCAGTTGGAACTGTCAGGGCTTGCCACGTGGCACACGCTTATTCGTCCACCTTGGACCTATTATGTCATGACACGTGGCATACTCCATGCCTAATGGAGAAACCGGCCACCCAGGCCCAACTTCTGAGGGAAGCCCAATCAGCCCTAGGTTAACCTAAACCTAGGATTAGCACGTTTCCCAAGGTTATAAATACCTCCCTTAATCCTCATTAAGGGAGATGACATTAATTACAGAGATTACACAGAGATAACAGGCTGATCTCGCTAACAAAGCAGATTACCTACATCAAACACTCTCACCTAGAGAGACCCAATCACTTTAATTTCCGCATTAATTACTTCTTAATTAAGTACTAACTTGACCGTTGGAGGCGAAGCTCCCACCACCAGGAGTCTCCGTTGTTTTGCAGGTACAGGCGTCCGGTTCCAGTCTCGGAATTGTAACTCTCCCGCAGGACATCAGAAAACCCCGAAACATTTGGCGCCGTCTGTAGGGAGAGTACTTCTGAGATGGCATCCAAGTCTGTACCGACTCCTAAAGAGAGGCGTCCCCTAGACGACCCTCAAGTTCAGTCGGACCACGATACTGAGAGTGAATTTGAAGTTGAAGCTCACACAGCTTCAGACGGGACCCTAAGGGCCCGACGTACCCGTCATACCGAAAGGAGGGAACGGGAACATCTTCAAACTGGAAGTGAGCCAGCAGGCGCACCGCCTGTTCGGCAGCAGCCGACTAATGGATCTGCTCCCATCACAAGGAACGAACTCATGACCTTCATGAGGGACTTCAAGGGAGAAATTCAAGAGTTGATCAACAAGAAGCCGCCTGCTCTGGACAAGGAGCAGTCGGCTAAGAAACCTTCCACTTCACTGAAGAGGAAGCCAGTTCAAGGGCGAGAGGCGACTCCTCACCCTAAATCTAGGAAGCGGGAGCCGACTGCCCTTGATTTCACAAAATACCGTTTTCCTACTCCAGGAAATAGGAAACCTGTTCGTCTTATTCAGGCGGACGGGTCAAGGAAATCATACACAGACGCTCGGCTACTGCTAGAGCAGAAGAAGAGTGACCGATTGTCAGAGTCGGCCTCTACTTCAAACTTCCAAGACAGTCTGCGAAATACCTCAATGAGGCATATGCAGTCGTATCATGAGAGTCAGTCAGGCGGCACCTCCCGTCAGTCTGGCTTTCATAGCGACCAGGCGGTACCAAACTTACCGTTTGTGCCGCAACAACAGTATTTTTTGCAGCCACCTCCGTTTGGTGGACATGCAGCAAAAAACGTCCAACCTATGGACTAGCAGCTACGGTTTCTTAGACTTGGTGAACAGCCGTCGGCCTTCTCCAAGGAAATTACTGAAGCCGCTCAGCCGGCCAAAGTGAAAAATGTATTAGTAGGCGCCTATGACGGCACTACTAACCCAGAAGACCATCTGATGGCATTCACCAACCTGATGTACCTTCAAGGGTTGGATGATCCCACTTGGTGCAAGTGTTTCCCAGCGACTCTCAAAGGAATCGCACAACAATGGTTCGGCAACCTGCCGACTGGTTGTGTAAATAGCTTCAGGACGCTTGCTTACTTATTCACCTCCAACTTCGCCATGAACATCCCTGCGAAGAAGACGACCCTTGATTTAGGAACAATTCAGCAGGGCGAGAAGGAGGGGCTTCGTTCTTACATCAGGCGGTTTAACCTGATGAGAATACAGATTCAAGGGTTACCGGATGAAGTAGCCTATACTGACTTTTTCAGAGGTCTCAAGGACGGGTCGACCTTCAAATTTGATTTGGTCCGAAAGAGGGTGGCGACTCTTCAAGAGGCCTTGATTGAAGCGGAAGCCTATATACAGGCGACTGATCTTTGTACGGTAAAACAGTCGGACGGGAAAAGGTCCGACAAAAGAGAAGGACGACAGAAACAATCGTCAAACAAAGATGAGAAAAGAAAAGAGGTCTGGGCGGCTGATTCCTCTAAATAGCCGGCCCAGAAAAAGAAAAAAGAATTCAAACCATACTCCCCAAAGTATGCGTTTAACAAGGATAACCAGTTTATCCTAAAAGAAATCAAGGGACGGATCTCAATTGAGAAGCCGGTCCCCATGAAGGGTTCTGCAAACAACCGGAACCAAGAAAAATCATGTGCTTATCATGAAGATGTTGGTCATCACACCAATGACTGCATCAGTCTCATGCGGTATCTGGACCGCCTGGCTAAGCAAGGTGATCTTGACACTTATGTCAAGAAATCTACGGGGAACACTTCCTCAAAAAAGCAGTCGGCCAAAAAGAATCAACAGGCCGACAGCTCCGATACAGATGATGCAGTCGTCTACACCATTGCAGGCGGCTTCTCAGGAGGCGGCCCCACTATAAGGGGCAACAAAGACAATATTAGGCGGTTAGATGTAAATTCCGTTCACTAAGAACGGCCGTCCAAATATTCATTTCCTGAGATTGTCATCACTGAAGAAGATCTAGGAGGGGTAAGAGGGCCGCATGACGACCCTATCGTTATTGAATGTAAAGTGGCCAACCAGGGAGTTGGCCGAATCCTCATAGATACCGGAAGATCCTCAGATCTCATCAGTAGCAAAATGTCTGTCAAAACTAAAATATCAGACTGACTGCATACATCCGGCCTCCCACCCATTAGTAGGGTTTGGAGGAGGAGTCGTCCACCCAGTGGGACGAGTGGATTTACCCATCCGTCTGGGCGAAAAAGGGGAAGGACGACACATGGTAGTCCGATTCCTGGTAGTAGAAGAACTCTCGGCCTACAACATGATTCTGGGACGACCAACCCTGAATAATTCCAAGGCTGTTATAATCCCATCTCTTATGTTGCTCAAGTTTGAGAGGGATAATGGAACAGTCGGCTCCCTAAGGGGAGATCAGAGGATGGCCAGAGAGTACTATCTCTCGGATGTCAAGCCCACTGTTATGGCCACTGGGTCGACTGGTGGAAAAACAGACCTTGACAAAGTCAAGGAGAGTGCGCCTGTTCAAAGAGCAGGCGGCAAGAAGAGAAAGGCATCCCAGACAGGGGCCGCAAGAAAAGACAAAAAATAGCAATCATTGGCAGAGGAGCGGTCGGATGAATTCCGCCCTCAGCCAGCAGGTGAGCATACGGACTTGATCTTAGACGACTCACGTCCTGAGCGAACAGTCAAAGTTGGGACGACTGCTCTGAGAGACCTTGGTGACGACTTTCACAAACTATTGAAAGAATACAAGGACATCTTTGCATTCGAAGTCCATGAAATGCCAGGCATTAGTCCTGATCTGGCGGTACATAAACTAGCCGTGGATCCGAAAAAGAAGCCGGTACGGCAGAAGAAGCGGAACCATGGCGAAGAAAGAAGTCAGGCGGTAGCCGCCGAAGTTAAAAAATTACTTGATGCAGGGTTCATTCGGCAATGTTACTTCCCAGACTGGGTTGCAAATGTGGTGCTTGTTAAAAAGCCGAATGGCACCTGGCGAATGTGTGTAGACTACACAGATTTAAACAAGGCGTGCCCCAAAGACAGTTACCCTCTGCCTAAAATTGATAACCTGGTCGACTCAACAGCCGGCCATGCTTTGATGAGCTTTATGGACGCCTACTCTGGTTTCCATCAAATTCCTTTATGGAAGAAAGATCAGGAGAAGACGGCCTTCGTCACTGATCATGGGTTATACTGTTACACGGTCATGTCGTTTGGTCTTAAGAATGCCCCGGCTACCTTCCAGCGAATGATAAACACTGTGTTCTTTGATCAGATTGGGAGAAACGTCGAGGCATACATTGATGATATGATTGTCAAGACTAAACTTCAGAAAGATCATCTGTCGGACCTCCGAGAAACTTTCGCCACACTCAGGCGGCACCATGTCATGCTCAATCCCAAGAAATGTGTCTTTGGAGTTGAGTCTGGGAAATTTCTCGGATTCCTTATCAATCAGAGAGGAATTGAGGAGAACCCTGAGAAGGTGCAGGCGGTCATTGACATGCAGTCGCCTCGTACCATCCGAGAGGTTCAGAAGTTAACAGGTTGTCTGGCGGCCTTGGGAAGATTTCTAAGCCGATCAGGCGACAAATGCCTATACTTTTTCCAGGCAATTAAGAAAAAGGCAAGGTTTGAATGGGGGCCGGATGCTGAGGCGACCTTCCAGAAATTGAAAGTTCACTTGCATTCCTTGCCGAGGCTGGTCAGCCCTTTGCCCAAAGAAGTACTCTACATG